AGGGAAAGCTGCCCTCCTGGCAGATACAGTCCTCACCTGCTCACTGCAGTGAGCTTCTCACACAACTGTAAATGGCACCCCTGTATCACTGAAAAAAGGAATAGTGGGGAAGTACAGGTTTTCTGAGAGGAGGTCAGTGCTGGGCAAGTTGACTTGGAGGACACACACTTGTGGAACTGTCTAGGTTGTGGCTGGGCTTAGAAGTCTGGGGTCTAGATATAAGCTTGTGAAGACAAGATTTCCTGTTGGGCCTGGCAGGTGGTGTGGTGGTTAAGGTGGCTGGACTCCCACATGGCTGACCACGGTTCGAGTCCTGGACCTGGCAGTTTGCTTTCTCACTTTTCTTCCCTCCTTGTCTTTCTGTGGTCAACTTCAAGATAAAATAAAATAAAATAATGACAATGAACAAAATTAAATACAAAAAAGAAAAGGTCTACTGTGAGAAATGTGTATACCAAGCCTGTGCCATGTGGATGTGGAGTCTAGATATAAATTACCCAATTGAAATATTGATCCCAAATAGAGCAATGAGCTCAAAAAGACCCTTGAGCCTCTGGGGCCCAAGAAAAAGCAAATCCTCCTTGTAAACCAACTCAGGGGATAGGAGGATCCCCTAGAAATAAAACCTACAAAGATGAGCTCCTGGGAAAAATTCCCAAACTACAATTGGATCCACCACAAGGAAGTGTCAATAGAGGACACACAAGCCAATTTAAGTGATTGGTTTAGCAATGTGATGTGAATTACCAAATTTAGGGTTCCAGGAATTCCATTTTGTGGTAACCTGACACCAGGACATTAGCTTTCCTCTAAGCTGGCTGAGGAATTTCTAAATGGGGAAGGAGGGCCTTAGGGGTAGCTACCTGGTAGGAGGGTGGGGCTGGAGGACAGAAGGATGCATGGGGTATAGTTATTGTGGTTGTGTTTACAAAGCAGGACAGAGTCTTTACAGAAATTGTATATGTTTATTTGTGGCAATGATGAGCATTGCATGGATGGCTAATCTTGACTTCCAGCTAAGCCTTAGTTTTGCTATAGGCTTTTGCCCCTAATTTTAACTCTTTCTGCATAGTCTCTTGGTGGTGAAAACAGCGTGATTTCTGACTTCCATGGACACATGGTAGACAACTCTTGGGTGTTACATGTTAGAGATTCAGAAGCCAGCAAAGAGACTGACCACGTCTAGGTTCCAGTGTCAGAATTCTTGCCAAAGAGACCTAATTGGTTCACCTTTGATCAGATTGATCAAATGGCACTGTGTGCTCATGTGCGCATGTGTAACCATGGCAACTTAGTGTATGTTGGGGGTGGGGGAGTAGAAGACAATGGTCATGCATCCAGCAGGGGAACATTACAAAGAGAGGTCCTGAGACAGAAAATGGCTTGTGACTTGACTTGCTGCCTGGTGACTGCAGACATAGGAGTGAACTGGCATCTTAGAAGGGCAAGTCTCTGTACTCCTCATAATCCTACAGTGCCTCCCTCAACAGAGAGAAGTTATTTTATTGAACCAATTTACCGTTTCAAGGTAAAAAAAAAAAAGGAATCAAAAAAGTTTAGTTCTCTCAGAAGGAGTAAATGGAGAAATGAAGACATACAAAGAGAAAGTCACTATGTTAATACTGTCCTGCTTTGTAAACACAACCACAATAACTATACCCCATGCATCCTTCTGTCCTCTAGCCCCACCCTCCTACCAGATAGCTACCCCATAACAGTCTCCCAGTCCACCAACTAAATACTTTCCAGGGCTGTCACTAAAGGGATGTCCTGAAATGGTAAAGGACACTGAGTAGGTTACTGGGAGGTGGGAGGGCAGAGAGCTTGACAATACCTACATCAGTGGGTTTTAGTTATGTTTCAACCAACCTGTTGTGTTCATTCTGTGTTGCTAAAACAGAATATCAGAGACTGGGTAATTTATAAACAATACAAGTTTATTTGGCTCACAACTCTGGAGGTTGGGAAGTACAGTATCTGGTGAGGGCCTCCCTGTGGTGTTATCCTGGGGCAGAAAGCAGGACAAAAGAGCGAGAGAGGACGGGCGCTGAACACTTAACTTTTACCAGGAACTCACTCTCAGGGCAACTAACCCACTCCCAAGATAATGGCATGCCTTCGTGCCCTAATCATCTCTTAAAGCTCTCATGTCTCAACACTGATGGGGATTAAGGACATGCTGGAAAACCACAGCACCTGCCCCCTCCAGTTTATGAGGCAGGTATCAATATTTTCAGTTTTATTTTTCAGAGGAGGTCACTGAAAATTCAGAGGTTATTACTCAAGCTGATAAGAGAACCAAGATTTAAACTCAACCCGGAGTGTCTAGTATCAGTACCTATCAATATTTACTCACTATTAATCCAAATAGATGCAATTGTAATGAAAAAAACTCTGGCCCGACATTTCTGAGGGTTTCTGGCACCACCACTGATCGCTTGAGTAGGAGGTGAAGTTGGTGTTACCCTACTTGAAAAAGCTACTTTTTAAAAAAAATTTTTTTTCTGGGGAACCAGCAGTTAGCGTAATGGCTGTGTCGCTGGACTCCCACATAGTCGACCGCGGTTCGCATCCTGGACCCGGTGGCTTAAAACCTACGCCGGGCGCGTGTGTGTGTGTGCCCAAGATCCCGAGAGGAGAATGGAGTAGAAGGGATTGTGGCGTGGCCAACCCCTCTGGGGGGTGATTTCTTGCTTTCTGTCTCTCTGTCTCTCTGTCTGGCGAGCGAACGCGCCCTATAGTAAAAAACCTCTCCAAAAAAATTTTTTTTTTTCTTAATAGCTATTGCGTATCAGATACTGTGCTGGGTTTATGATCTTATTTAGCACTTAGGACAATCCTACGAGATTGGTACCATTACTATCGATTATTTTACAGGTCAGGGAACTGCAGATAAGCTATTTCCTTCTACGTATTTTGTGAATAAATCCTTACTAAAGTGCTTAATCCGGTATTAACAATAATGCTCTTTCCAGACCAACTGGGCGAAACTACACGCGTGACGTTCCTACTGCCTGCCGCTAGGTGACGTCACGACACTCACCACTCCACTCGCAGCCAAGTTCCACGGCTGGAATCTCGCGAGATTTGCGGGTTCCTCTAACCTGTCTCGGACCTGCGCGCGGCGTAGGGCGCTTGGGGCCAGAGCGGTTTGATGGTTTTCTGTCAGTCAGCGTGCACGCGAGCTTTCACGCGACACTGCTTTCCTTTCAGACACCGAGATCTCGCGAGATTTGCTATTCCGCTTTCTACGAGCTTGCGCCTGCGCAGAGCTCTTCAAAGCAGAAGGTCGCGCTTGGAGGAAGTGGAGGCTTCGGGTCCCGTGACTGAAGCGCCCGTTACTACTTCTCTGAAGCTCCTCTCGGCCGCTTGCCTCGACACCCCGCCGCCAAGATGCCTCGAATTATGATCAAGGGGGGCGTGTGGAGGAACACCGAGGTGAGTCTCCTTTTCCCGCCGTCCGCTGCCCTCCGCCCCCTCGGGCCGATTTGCGCCTGCGCACGGAGGTCGGGCGGCGGGGAGGGTCCCTTGGGGGTCTGCGTTGGGGGCTATCCCCACAGCGAACCCTCGAGACTTTTGCTATGTGTCGGGCCCGGTGTCAACCGAGCGCCTCAGGGACGCGGACCGTGACGAGTCACCCCAAGTTCACTCTCAGGCACTTGTTAGGCCCGTGGTGAACATTCGGAGAATAGAGGACGCGCTCCCTCTCCCCTGGAGGACCTCCCGGTGTGGCGGGGGAGACGGAGTTTGTCTTCTGGGGGCACCACCGCCTCTCAGCTCTGGCACGGCGCCTCTCCCTGGTACTCAGAAATAAAGTTGTTGTGACTACAACTTTGCTTCTGCATTGACTTCCTTGCAGAGCGAAGGCACGCTGAGTGCCAGGTTCCCCCTGGTGCTGTTACCGAGGCCTCACCTGCCCGTGCTCTGACAGACCCCAACGTCTGTCTCCTGTTCCTGTCGCTCGGCCTGTCCCTGCAAACAGGCCAGATAGGACGAACTGCCTGTGGTCTGCCTCCACGGATGTAGTGGATAATGCCACTTATAGTCACGGGGCAGAATCGTGGGAGTAAAATAGAAGATTTTAGTGCGTTTTCAGTTCCCAGCACACTGAATTTATTTCTGGGGCACATGTTGCCTTTTCACTTCTTGTGTCTTCTTGGAATGTTATCCTGGTACTTGGCATCCTTCTGACCATCCTTCAAAGCGGATTCAAAAACGCTTCTTGGAATCTTTGTTTACCTTGTAGGAATTAGTTGCACCCCCGCTCTGGCCCCATGGTCCCTTGTTCATCCGTCTATTACAGATGGTTTTGTTATTTTGCCAGTATCACATCCTTCTGTGATGCTGGATAAGTTTCTTAACCTCTCAAAGCCTCATTTTCCTAGGTGGGGATAATAACAATATCTACCTCTTGAGGTTTAAATGAGTTAATACAGTTGGAAGGTTTAGCAGTTGGAAGGTTTAGAACAGTGGGACACATGGTAATCTTTGAGTAAGTGCTAGGTTCTCTTTCTCACACCAAGCAGCACTGCAAGAGGTGGTCTTGGTATCCCTGGAACCTAAAACAATAACCATCATGAAATACATTGCTTGGCACATATTTGGGGAGTGAATCTCTAGGGTGGATACTCGCTGCATGTGCTTGGTTGAAGGTATGCTTAAGTATAGCAGTCCTGTAGCAAAGTTACAAATCAAGGCAGTGAAAACTCTACCGGCACTCAGGGAACCAGGCTGCTTAAATTGGAGAAGGAATGCCTTCTGAAGGAGAGACAGGTGTGTAAAATCTAGTAACAGGATTCCAATGCCGTGTTTAGAGCCCTGCAGTCTTTTATTTCTCATATTGGGAGTAGAACAAGGTGGCTCAAGTGTGTAGCTTGAGATTAACATGGAAAAAACCTTAAAACACTCTCACTGCATTCATGTATGGGTCCATAATCTGATGTCTGTGGTTTAGCTTGTCAGGTTGTGCTAGGATTAGAACATTCCACACTAATGGATTCCCTGGTGAAACAGCATCTAGAGTCTGGAGAGAGAGCTGACTGAAGAGGGGGGAGTTAGGGAGACTTATTTAACTCTTATGTTACACTTGAGAAGTGGATTCTTGGGTCATATAAGGTCTTAAGGGACTGGAGAGGAAATGCCAGGCATCAGCTGGAGACAGGAAGCTTGGGATGGAGAATAGATTCACACAGTCACAGTTTACTTCTTGAGGTGAGGATGTGTTCTATTTTATTTCTTTTCCTCAAGTACACCAGATCTGGTTCAAGGTAGGTGTTCAGGAAGTGTTTTTTAAGTGAATGTATAAATGAATGAGGTACTGTTTTTTAAAGAGAATGCCAGGCACTCATTGGAGAATACTTTTTGTTAATCATCATAAAAGAATTCTCAGGTTGGGCTGTTCCTACTCCCAGTTAATTCAGGGGTGTATGTGTAAAGGAGGACTGAATATCCTTACAAAGGATTTCTTCTTCATTTTTTGCATTCTGCTGAGCGTTGATTCTTGTGTATCATTTTAGCTATTTTTTTTTCACCTAAGGGTGTGTGTATGTGTGTGTGTGCATGCCTGCCTGCCTGCCTGCCTGCCTTTCTCTTCCTACAGCAACACTGTCAATTTAAATATTGTCTTTTCTCACTTGGAATTTTGTGATCAAATGTACTCTTTTTCTTGGCAATTATTTTAGGATGAAATTCTGAAAGCAGCAGTAATGAAATATGGGAAAAACCAGTGGTCTAGGATTGCCTCACTGCTGCATAGAAAATCAGCAAAGCAGTGCAAAGCCAGATGGTACGTACCAGTTAAAACATGGAAAACAGAAAATGACTTTGATTATGATGAAGAAAATGTCATTTGTTTGAACCATATTAAAGAAAGCATATATCACAGTGTAGCAAAGTACGAAATAGGAGATGGGAATTTGGAATTTGGAGTTAGCTCTCACTTGCTTCCTATGTGACCTTAGGCAAGTCATTTTTCTGTCTCTACTCTGCTCCATTTTCCTCCCAATTAGAGATAATACTTGGCTATAACTGATGGAGATGTGAGACTCCACGTAAATGAGTTCGTGTGTTTGAGAGTGCTTTGTGAAGCATAAAATCTTTTAGGAACAGATGGTTCTCAGCTTATAAATGGATCATGTTTCAAAAGTTTGTAAGTTGGTTGTTTTATAACTTACTTTCTCAAAGAAGTAAATGATAAATAATTGTTAACTTTTTTTTTTTTTATTTTTGGAGAGGTTTTTTGCTATAGGGTGTGTTCTTGCCAGAAAGACAGAGAGAGACAGAGACAGAAAGTGAGAAATCACCCCTCAGGGGGGATGGCCATGCTGCAATCTCTTCTCCTCCATTCTTCTCTTGAGATCTTGGGCACTCATGCACACATGACCAACATGAGTTTAAGCCACTGGGTCTGGGACTCGAACCGTGGTCCGACTACATGGGAGTCTAGCGACATAGCCATTACACCAACTGCTGGTCCCAGTAATTGTTAATTTTCTAGGCAGGCTTACAGTAGTTGAGTTTTCTCATAATAGAATTAAAATACCATGTATTTGCTATCCTAAAATATAACACAAGCCAGCAATACACCTGTAACATCACCTTTTAAACCATGGGCTAGTAGACACATGAAGTGATATGTTCTTGGCATAAGTGATTTGGTCCTATCCCCAATCCCTGTGGTGCTAGAAACATACTTTGGATTGCATAAGTGATAGGAAAAGACTCAGCATATAATAATTTGACTCCAAAGAGGAAAATAATTCTTAAACTGAAGAAGTGGTTCTGATTTCTGTTTGTTTTAGTGGCACTGAGCTTCTACTCCAGTGTTTGGTAGGACTGTCCTGCTTGCTAGTTTCTCATCCAGCTAAGTAGACTAGATGGAAAAGTTGTGTTGGGTGGAATGTGAGAAAAGATAGAGGATGCCATAGTAATTTCATTTAAATTTAGAAACCTAATCAAGGGGCCACAGTGTGAGTCCTGGACTTGGTGGCTTGCTTTCTCACTTTTTTCTCTCTTTCATTCTCTCTGATCAAAATGAAAAAATAATGATAATAAATAAATACTTCTTTTTTTTTTAAAAAAAAAAAAAGGAAACATAATCAAAGAGAAGCACGTGGTGTTGAAAAGCATTTAGTGAGTTTAAGTCAAATGTTTTACAAGGTAAGCCACGGTATTGTAACAGTCAAAGCCTTGGAACGTATTCTGAAAACTAGAAAAACTGGAAAAAAAAAAAAAAAAGGTGATAATATTTTATTTCCAAATAATTTCAAAATCTAATAAAGTGAGGGACCAGCAGTTAGCATAATGGCTATGTCGCTGGACTCCCATGTAGTCGACTGTGGTTTGAGTCCTGGACCCAGTGGCTTAAACTCACGCCGGGCACGTGTGCGTGTGTGTGCATGCCCAAGATCCTGAGAAGAGAATGGAGGAGAAGGGATTGTGGCATGGCCATCCCCCTGGGGGTGATTTCTCACTTTCTGTCTCTCTGTCTCTCTCTGTCTTTCTGGTGAGTGCACACGCCCTATAGCGAAAAACCTCTTAAAAAAATCTAATAAAGTGTAAAATAAATAGAAATGATAGTAGAGAAGAAAGCATATGTCCATATTTCAGTCCAGCTACTTTTTTTTTTAGGGTTTTTGTAATAGGGTATATGCACTTACTAGAGAGAAGCAGAAAGAGGGAAAGTGAGAAATCACCCTCCAGGGGGATGGCCATGCCATAGTCCCTTCTCTTCCATTCTCCTTTTAGGATTTTGGGCATGTATGCACATATGCCTTGGTATGATTGTTTTCAGTTTACCAGGTCTGGGACTCTAACCGCATAGCTGGCCCTGTGGGATCCAGCACCCTAACCGCGATGCCACCTGCTGCCTCCCTACACTTGGTACTTTTTATAAACATTAGTAATCTTGCATAAGGAAAGTAAAATTCTGACAGAATGTGGTGAGATGGGGATTATTGAATGGGGCAAGTTTAACCACATAATGAATATTCTGTTGTCAAAAAAAAGCAGCTTTTGGGGCCAGCAGGTGGCATGGTGGTTAAAGGCACTGGGTTCTCACATGTCCGACTGTCATTTGAGTCCTGGACCTGGTGGCTTGCTTTCTCACTTTCCCTTTCTCTGTCTCTCTGTCTCTATCTGATCAAATTAAAATGACAATGATGGTGATAATAATAATTGAATTAAATAAATAATTCTAAAAAAGCAGCTTTAGTAATTGAAGGATGACTAGTGTTTTTCAGTCCTTACAAGTCAGTGTATTTAATGTATAAATTGGATACTTATGCTAGGTGACTGATTAATGTATACTGTGGTATATTTTTAATAGGTACGAGTGGCTAGATCCAAGCATTAAAAAAACCGAATGGTCTAGAGAAGAAGAGGAAAAACTCTTGCACTTGGCTAAGTTGATGCCAACTCAGTGGAGGACCATTGCTCCAATCATTGGAAGAACAGCAGCCCAGTGCTTAGAACACTATGAATTTCTTCTGTAAGTAAATCTTCAAAAGCAGTGTAATGTGTATATATTCTGAATGAGACTGTACAAACTTTTAGCATTTCTTGTCTTGTTTTTTTTTTTGGAGAGGTTTTTGCCACAGGGCACGTGCGCTCGCCAGACAGACAGAGACAGAAAGCAAGAAATCACCCCCCCAGGGGGGATGACCATGCCACAATCCCTTCTCCTCCATTTTCCTCTTGGGATCTTGGGCACGCACACACATGCGCGCGGCGTGCGTTTTAAGCCACCGGGTCCGGGACACGAACCGCGGTCGACTACGTGGGAGTCCAGCGACATAGCCATTACGCTAACTGCTGGTCCCAGCATTTCTTGTCTTTAAACTTTTCATTGCAGATGTGAGTAAAGCCAAGAGCTAAAGCTATTGGATTATGGATTCCAAATTTCATATTAAAATGATGTCTTCTAGTATGTACTTTTTAATAGAATAGTTTAAAAGACTGTACATATGGGAACCAGCAGTTAGCGTAATGGCTATGTCGCTGGACTCCCACGTAGTCGACCGCGGTTCGTGTCCCGGACCCGGTGGCTTAAAACTCACGCCGGGCGCGTGTGCGTGCGTGCCCAAGATCCCGAGAGGAGAATGGAGGAGAAGGGATTGCGGCGTGACCATCCCCCCTGGGGGGTGATTTCTCGCTTTCTGTCTCTATGTCTCTCTCTGTCTGTCTGGCGAGCGCACGCGCCCTACAGTGAAAATCTCTCTAAAAAAAAAAAAAAAAGACTGTACATATTATAAATGTTCATCATAGAAATCTGGGGTAAACATAGTAGAAGAATGGGGAAAAAAAAGTCATCCTTAATCACATTGCTGAGAATTTACTCTTGGAACACTTTGATTCTTTACTAATAGTTTTATTTATTTATTTCGGTTTGATTATACTGTATTTATGATTAAGGAGTTGCTTAGATTCGATTTCACAGTGAATAAAAACACTAATTGAAGGGATCAGCAGTTAGCGTAATGGCTATGTCGCTGGACTCCCACATAGTCAACCGCAGTTTGTGTCCCGGACCCGGTGGCTTAAAACTCACGCCAGGCGCGTGTGCGTGCGTGCCCAGGATCCCAAGAGGAGAATGGAGGAGAAGGGATTGTGGCGTGACCATTCCCCCTGGGGGAGTGATTTCTCGCTTTCTGTCTCTCTGTCTCTCTCTCTCTCTGTCTGGCGAGCGCATGCGCCCTATAGCAAACACCTCTCAAAAAAGAAAAGAAACACTAATTAAAATTAGAAAATTGTAATACCTTTTCTTTTAGATGAAGTGAAAGTAGAAATGCTTTATTTTGTTAATATTCATGCATGGGTTTTTGGAAAAAGAAAAAAGAGTGTCAGAGCTAGACAACCTCATAATTCTAATACCAAATGGTATAATAATGTGATGAATTCTTCTGGGCTTCTTTGTAGAGATAAAGCGGCCCAAAGAGACAATGAAGAGGAAACAACAGATGATCCACGGAAACTTAAACCTGGAGAAATAGATCCAAATCCAGAAACAAAACCAGCTCGGCCTGATCCAATTGATATGGATGAGGGTAAGTATAAGCTTGCGTCAGAATTCATTTTCTTGGAAATTATAAACTTCTCAGGTTTCTCTTTAATTCTGTTAGTTGCTCTCTAGTTTTCGACTTAGAATCCCTGCAGTTTTTCTTTTAAGTATCTTTCTAACATGTCTAGCCTTATGTTTTTTTATGGAGTAGTTGTTGTTTTGGACAGTGCCCCTTTAGCTTCCATTTCTTCAATTGACTTAATTAAGCAGTATAATACTACTGGGCACATTGCCTGGAGGCTAGAAGTGAGCCTTTGAATATCCTGTTTTTCAGTCCTGTTCATGGCGGGAGGCAGCAAGTCAGGGTATTGGACCCTAGTCATTCTGTTAACTGCTTATTTGATTTAGTCTAGTCACTCAGTTGGCTTGAGAAGGCAACACTGTAAGACTGTGCTGGAGACTTACTTTGATTCTGTGAGGCATTGAGTCGAGAATTAGAGAAATTAGATTTTGTTTTATCTTTTAAGATAATTATTTATTTAACTTAATTAATTTTTAAAAGATTATTTATTTCATTTTATTTATTATCATTTTTCAGTTTGACCAGAGTGGCAGAGAGAGAAGGAAAGTGAGAAAGCAAGTCACTAGGTTTGGGACACAAACCGCAGTCCGCCCTATGGGAGTCCAGTACCTTAACCAGCATGCCACCTGCTGTCCCCAGTTAAGTTTTTAATTTTACCAGAGAGGGCAGCGAGGGAGAGGGAAAGTGAGAAAGCAAGCTGGCAGGTCCAGGACTCGAACCTCATTTGGCTACGTGGGAGTCCAGTCCCTTAACCACACCATCTGCCAGCTCTAGGGAAATTAGATTTTAGACCTATGCTTGCCACTTATTATTGTCCTAGGCAAGTCACATAATCTCTGAGCTTTAACTATACTTTACAGGATTGTTATGAAGCACTCAGTGAATATTTGTTGAGTTTTTCAAATGTAAAAGTCTGAAAGCAGAGGTTCCCAAAGGCATACTGGCTACGTTGGCTGCATCACAGTTAACATGGGGAACTTTAAAAAATAGAGGTACCAAGCTTCCCCAAGAGTCACTAAGTTAGTAAGCTGGAGGTTGAGGTGCGGTGTAAGGGCAGGGATTCTCGAATCTGAGGTTTTTAAAAAAGTTCCCATGTGCGGGGAACCAGCAGTTAGCGTAATGGCTATGTTGCTGGATTCCCATGTAGTCGACTGCAGTTCGTGTCCCGGACCCGGTGGATTATAACTCACGCCGGGCGTGTGTGCGTGCGTGCCCAAGATCCTGAGAGGAGAATGGAGAAGGGATTGCGGCGTGACCATCCCCCCTGGGGGGTGATTTCTCGCTTTCTGTCTCTATGTCTCTCTCTGTCTGTCTGGCAAGCGCATGTGCCCTATAGCGAAAACCTCTCCAAAAAAAAAGTTCCCATGTGGGACCAGCAAGTGGTGTGGTGGTTGGGGTGCTGTACTCCATGTGGCTGACTGCAGTTCAAATCCCAGACCTGGTGGCTTGCTTTCTCACCTTCTCACTCTCTTTCTCTCGTCCAGTTGAAAAAAAAAATAGTAGTAAGTAAAATTAAATAAAGAACTATTTAAAAAAGGAAAAGTTCCCATGAGTTTATATTGGGTAGCCTTGTGTAAGAATTGTTTCAAGTTATTAGTTATGGCATTTATTGCTTTATTCTAGAGAGCCATGGAAAATACATTGGAGGAGGAAAATGCTCTGAGGGAAAAATTATTTAATGAAGTCAGCACTTTGTTTATATTTAAATAGTTTTTTACAATATTTTACAATTTGTGGTATGCCTGTTAGTAGATGGTAATGAAGGATATGATAAATAAAGCCACCATTAAGTGAATACTTGCTAGATGCTTTACATATTTCATTTTACTTAACTCTTCTCAACATCCCTGTGGAGTAGGAATTGTTCCTTAGTTTTATAGGGAAACACATTCATGGAGAGGGTCATAAATAAGTGGCCAAGGTCATACAAATAGCAAGTAGTGGGCCTGATTTTTACCCTACATTTCTGTGACTTCAAAACTCAAACTATTTCCATTATGCTATTTCATATAATGAGAGAGAGAGAGAGAGAGAGAGAGCGAGCAAGAGCGAGTGCGCGCATGTGTGTTTCCCTGACCCCTCATTTTAAGCAATAGGGTATGTTTCCTACATACTTAGCTTCTGTTGGAGAAAAACTTATTTTTCTCTGTATTTTTACAGATGAACTTGAAATGCTTTCTGAAGCTAGAGCTCGCCTGGCTAATACTCAGGGAAAGAAGGCCAAAAGGAAAGCAAGAGAGAAACAGTTGGAAGAAGCAAGGTATGGTTGTCTCCTTTTGTAATTCAGCAGTTAATTTATATATTGTTAGGCCCAATAAAACTGCATGATTTTTGTCAGCCCTGTTGAGTGAATAATTGGAATAGTCTTATTTTTGTTTTGCTAATATTCCTTAAACTTCTTCATTACTCTGAAAAAGTCTTGTATTTTATATTTGTTATATATAACCATTTTGGAGGAGAATGGAGAAGGGATTGCGGCGTGACCATCCCCCCTGGGGGGTGATTTCTCGCTTTCTGTCTCTATGTCTCTCTCTGTCTGTCTGGCAAGCGCATGTGCCCTATAGCGAAAACCTCTCCAAAAAAAAAGTTCCCATGTGGGACCAGCAAGTGGTGTGGTGGTTGGGGTGCTGTACTCCATGTGGCTGACTGCAGTTCAAATCCCAGACCTGGTGGCTTGCTTTCTCACCTTCTCACTCTCTTTCTCTCGTCCAGTTGAAAAAAAAAATAGTAGTAAGTAAAATTAAATAAAGAACTATTTAAAAAAGGAAAAGTTCCCATGAGTTTATATTGGGTAGCCTTGTGTAAGAATTGTTTCAAGTTATTAGTTATGGCATTTATTGCTTTATTCTAGAGAGCCATGGAAAATACATTGGAGGAGGAAAATGCTCTGAGGGAAAAATTATTTAATGAAGTCAGCACTTTGTTTATATTTAAATAGTTTTTTACAATATTTTACAATTTGTGGTATGCCTGTTAGTAGATGGTAATGAAGGATATGATAAATAAAGCCACCATTAAGTGAATACTTGCTAGATGCTTTACATATTTCATTTTACTTAACTCTTCTCAACATCCCTGTGGAGTAGGAATTGTTCCTTAGTTTTATAGGGAAACACATTCATGGAGAGGGTCATAAATAAGTGGCCAAGGTCATACAAATAGCAAGTAGTGGGCCTGATTTTTACCCTACATTTCTGTGACTTCAAAACTCAAACTATTTCCATTATGCTATTTCATATAATGAGAGAGAGAGAGAGAGAGAGAGAGCGAGCAAGAGCGAGTGCGCGCATGTGTGTTTCCCTGACCCCTCATTTTAAGCAATAGGGTATGTTTCCTACATACTTAGCTTCTGTTGGAGAAAAACTTATTTTTCTCTGTATTTTTACAGATGAACTTGAAATGCTTTCTGAAGCTAGAGCTCGCCTGGCTAATACTCAGGGAAAGAAGGCCAAAAGGAAAGCAAGAGAGAAACAGTTGGAAGAAGCAAGGTATGGTTGTCTCCTTTTGTAATTCAGCAGTTAATTTATATATTGTTAGGCCCAATAAAACTGCATGATTTTTGTCAGCCCTGTTGAGTGAATAATTGGAATAGTCTTATTTTTGTTTTGCTAATATTCCTTAAACTTCTTCATTACTCTGAAAAAGTCTTGTATTTTATATTTGTTATATATAACCATTTTGGTTAAATATAACACACGCATATATATTGGGTTGTCAGGAAAGTCTTGATGCATTTTTGAATAGAAAATCATAGAAAAATACATCATGACTTTCCCGGCAACCTATGTGTTATAATTTGCCAGAGGACGCGTATGCTTGCTGGAGAGAGAGGGAAAGTGAGAAAGCACCCCACATTGGGCTGTTGTCTCACCATAGTCCTTTTTCCATTTCTTTCTTCTTTCAGGATTTTGTGCTTGCACGTGCATGTGCTTAGCATGTTCCTCAAGCTTCTGGGTTCAGGCCTTGAACCATGCAGTTGGCCAGGTGGGGTCCAGCTGCCTTAACCACTTGGTCATGAAAAATAATATTTAAAAAAATTTTCTAAGACATAGTAAAAGTAATGTCTGGGCAGTTTACCAGTATTGGGTTTGTTCTATCAGCATAAAAGAGCTTTATTTTGTTTTGTTTTGTTTTAGAATTATCTGTTCAACTTTATTTATTTACGATTATTATTGTTGCTGTTATTTAAAGAATCATTTATCTAATTTTATTTATTTTTATTCTTCAATTGACCACAGAGAGAGAGAGAGAATGAGAAAGCAACCCGAACGACCGTTGACCGTTTGGGAGTCCAGATCACCAACCGCCATGCCACCTACTGGCTCCTATTTATTATTTTTAATTTGACCAGAGAGAGACAGGGAAAGTGAGAAAGCAAGCCCCCAGGGCCAGGACTGAAACTGGTTGGCCATGTGGGAGTCCAGCGCCTTAACCACCATGCCACCTGCTGGCTCCTATTTATTACTGTTTTTAATTTGACCAGAGAGAGACAGGGAAAGTCAGAAAGCAAGCCACCAGGGCCAGGACTCAAACTGTGGTTGGCCATGTGTGTGTCCAGTGCCTTAACCACCATGCCACCTGCCAGCCCCAAGAGAGCTTCATTTGTTGTAGCTGTCTTGCAGTTAGTTAGGTGTCTGGAGGATACACAAAGCTATGTGACTGGTGTGTGACTGCCAGTTATTTTCCTTGATTAGTGTAGGACAGAAACTGACTGCATATACAGTGAGTTAACAAACCTTGAACTAAATTTTAGGTGCTCATGGAAATTTTTAAAAAGTGCATGAATATGTATTAGGCATTGTTTCTTTACCTATGATTTTCTCTGTTTTTCTTTCCTTTTTTTTATTTTTTAATTCCTTTTGGTTAAATCCATGGTCAGTAACATTTTTAATGGAATAATGGCACAAAAATCAAGATGAAGTGAATACAAAGAAAAATGAACTGTATAGTAGTTTATTAGCTTTTGGGACTCAGGCATTGGAATAACCTTCTTAGCCTACACAGTATTTTTTTGTGGTCCCCAGGCTGGCTGGGAAGTGCTTATTCATGTGGTGACTAGCATTGTGTTGATGGTTTTCCTAGTAATGGGTTTCAAATGCGAGATCTTAGGATGGAGGATTCTTTTTTTTTTTAATTTTATTTATTCATTCATTTATTTTAATTAGATCAGAGGGAGACACAGAGGAGGAAAAAGAGAGAGGGAAAGTGAGAAAGGAAGCCACCAGGTCCGGGACTCAAACCGTGGTCGGCCATGTGGGAGTGTCCAGCACCTTAACCACCATGCCACCTGCTGTTCCCTAGGATGGAGGATTCATTGACACCTGAAGATGCTTGTTGGCATGGCTAGCCAGTTGCTAGCTTAGAATAGTTACTTGTGATGAGGGTATAACTGGCCTGGGATAGTACACAGAAGCCAAGAAGAGGCATTAAGTTTTCATTTTTTTTTCCTCTTTTTTTTGGAGAGGTTTTTGCTATAGGGTGCGTGCGCTCACCCGACAGACAGAGAGATAGAAAGCGAGAAATCACCCCCCAGAGGGGATGGCCACGCCGCAATCCCTTCTCCTCCATTCTCCTCTCGGGATCTTGGGCACGCATGCACACGCACCCGGCGTGAGTTTAAGCCACTGGGTCCGGGACTCGAACTGAGGTCGACTACGTGGGAGTCCAGCAACATAGCCATTACACTAACTGCTGGTCCCAAACTGTAGTCGACTACGTGGGAGTCCAGTGACATAGCCATTACACTGACTGCTGGTCCCGAGGCATTAAGTTTTCTACCCATCTCTGCCACCTCTGTTCTCTGCACTGTTTAGGTTTATGTACTGTGTATGAAATTGGGAAAAAAACCCACTTTTTAATTTTTGTTCATGGTTGTCTGGGGCCCAAATTTTAGAAGCCTTCTAACCATTTGGTCTGGGCTGTATGTTATAGCATATATGCATATGTGCTCCAAATATGGCCAGCATTGATGGCTGTAAAGTTTTTGCAGATTTTTTATGTGCACTATAGTTTCTTACAGGTTTCCTCGTAGAAGCTACGTATATTTATAGGTTGTGTGGTACATACAGTGTCCTTAAGGGGAAAGAATATTTTTTTTGGGGGGGGTAAGATTTTTGCCATAGGGCACATATACTTGCCAGAGAGAGAGAGGATTGGGAAAGTGAGAATTCACCCCCAAGGGATATGGTCATGCTGCAGTCCCTTCTCCATTCTCCTTTCAGAATTCTGGGCATATATGCACTTATAACTACTGTATTTTTCAAGCAGGTAGATCCACCACTCAGACCATGGGATCCAGTGTGGGCCATGGGATCCAGTGTGCCTTAACTACTACACTGTCTGTTGACCTTGGAAAAAAACATATTTAACCGTCTTGTTTGGTGATGCCAGACGAGCTGTAAAATGTCTGTGTGGGTGACTGAGATAATGATACCTTTGGTTCCTGATAGTTCAGTATATGTAGACCTTGTTTCATGCACAGTATTTTTAGAAATACTGTATAAAGGGGACCCGGCAAGTAGTGTGGTGGTTAAGGCACTAGGCACTCCCACATGGTCGACCATGGCTCGAGTCCCGGACCTAGTGTCTTGCTTTCTCACTTTCTTCTCTCTGTGTCTCTCTGGTCAAATTAAAATAAACAAGTGAATAAATGAAATTGAATAAAATAATTAAAAAAAAGAAATACTGTATAAAATTACGTACATTCTATGTGTATAAGGTGTATATGAAACAAATTTCATATTTTAAACTTGGGTCCCATCCCCAATAAATCTTACTATGTATATGCATATAATCCAAAAAGTGAAAAGTTTGAAATCCAAAATACTTGTGGTCCTAAGAATTTCAGTTAAGGGATGCCCTGTTCACCATTTCTTTCTCATTTATTTAATTTATATTAGAAAGTACATCCCCATCTAGAGATAAGATACATATTTACTTATAGTTTCTTCTGTTTTTTCCTTTTGCTATATGCTATGTGTGCATGTGCATACTTTTAAATCAAACCTGGAATTTATTTATTTATTTATTTAGAGAGATTTTCGCTATAGGGCATGTGTACTCGCCAGACAGACACAGAGAGACAGAGACAGAAAGCCCCAGGGGGGATGGCCATGCCGCAATCCCTTCTCCTCCATTCTCCTCTCGGGATCCTGGGCACGCACGCACACACACCTGGCGTGAGTTTAAGCCACCTGTCGGGGACTCGAACTGTGGTCGACTACATGGGAGTCCAGTGACATAGCTATTACGCTAACTGCTGGTCCCAAACCTGGAATTTATTTTTGTGAATGTTGGGAGGTGAGGACTTAAATAAATATTTCTTCTCCAGATAACCAAATAGTTTTCTTTTTAAAAAAATTTAATTTATTTATTGTATTATTATTAATTTGCTATAAGACACATGCATTCACCAGAGAGAGGCACGGGTAGAAGGGAACGAGGTGAAGTGAGAAAGTAAGCTGCCAGGTCCAGGACTCAAACTGTGTTTGGCCATGTGTGAGTTCAGTGCCTTAACCACCACACCTCCTACTGGCCCCCCCAAATAATTTTCTTAACTCTCTTGGCTAATCCATTCGTACCCATGGTGTGTGATTTTTCAAGGTAATTTTCCATTCTTTTTCTTCAGGCGTCTTGCTGCGCTCCAAAAGAGAAGAGAACTTCGAGCAGCTGGCATAGAAATTCAGAAGAAAAGAAAAAGGAAGAGAGGAGTTGATTATAATGCTGAAATCCCATTTGAAAAGAAGCCTGCTCTTGGTTTTTACGATACTTCTGAGGAAAACTACCAGGCTCTTGATGCAGATTTCAGGAAATTAAGACAACAGGATCTTGATGGAGAGCTAAGATCGTAAGTTGTCTTTTGGTTTTGGAAATGGAAAGGTACGGTAGGAATTTTATAAAGGGCCAAATATTATCCTCTATCAGGGCCAGCTTTTTATTATTTAAGACAACCTAGTATTTATATGCTTTTATTTATTTAATGGGTTCACCTTTCTGAGAAAACTGATCCTATTTTTTAGCACAGAATTCTGTTGTGGCTCTTGAATTGTAGCTCTTGGCTTTTAATGGACTGTTTACGTCACTGAACCACAGCTGAACATTTATGTATATTGGTGAACAGGTTAGTTATTTTACTAATGGCCTGAAAGAATCTGTCAAAATCTAATCTGTTGTTTTTTTCTAGTAAACATTTTCACTTTATTTTTATTAAAATGTAATTAAAAGAAAAAATTTCCCAGTGTATTCTTAAATCTTTTTACTTCATGGAGATAGTAGATATAATTATTTAATGTGTCTTAGAGTGCAGTATTTAATGTGTCTTCGAATGCAGAGGATTTGGCCTTTTTCTAGAGTTTTAGAGTTTCTTTACATTTTTTTTAAAGGATTATTTTATTTAACTTTATTCATTCATTTATTTATTTTTGATTTGACCAGAGAGGGACAGAGCGAGAGAGAGAAAGAGGGAAAGTGAGAAAGCAAGCCGCCAGGTCTGAGACCTGAACTGTGGTCCACCATGCTAGTTAAGTCCAGCACCCTTAACTACCATGCCACCTGTCGGCCCTGAGTTTCTTTAAATTTTGTAATTGACTATTGTATAGAGAACGTTGTATGACTGGCAAGGATTTTTTGTTTGTTTCCTACTCTGTTGACTTTCCTTTTTGTTGACACAAATTGTTACTAAACCAGAGTTCGAGTCCTGAACCTGGTGGCTTAAAATTCACACTGGGCACGTGTGTGTTTCTGTCCAAACTCCCAAGAGGAGAATGGAGGAGAAGGGGTTGTGGCATAGTCATCCCTGTTGGGGGCTGATTTCTTGCTTTCTGTGTCTGTTTCTCTCTTTCTCTGGTGAGTGCACGTGGCCTATAGCAAAAATCTCTCAAAAAAATTTTGTGAATTTAAAAATCATAATAATTAGGAAAATTAATATGTATGAGAGAGAGAGTGGAAACTTCAACAGGTCCCATGCAGGGATCTTCTCCCCAGCTTCAGCTGGTCGTGAATGTTCACATTCCTGATATACTCAAGGAGGTATTAGATGTGAATTTAGGGTCTTTCCCACATGAGTCTAGTTGCGTTACTAGTACACTATCATGTGAATCCACCATAACAATTTAATTTCTGGTAGAGAGGTTTTTTGCTATAGGACATGTGTGCTCACCGGAGAGATAGAAGCAGAGAGACAGAAAGCGAGAAATCACCCCTAGAGGGGACAGCCATGCTGCAATCCCTTCTCCTCTGTTCTCCTCTCAGGATTTTGGGCATGCACACACATGCACCCGGCGTGAATTGTAAGCTGCCGGGCCTGGGACTCGAACTGCGGTCAACTACGTGGGAGTTCAGTGATGTAACCATTATGCCATCTGCTGATCCCAATTTAATAGCAGTTTTAAAGGGAAACTTAAAAATTCATCATGTAGGGACCAGGAGTTATAATGGCTATGTCGTTGTACTCCATGTAGTTGACTGCAGTTTGAGTACTACCTGGTGGCTTAAACTCATGCTGGGCGCATGTGCGTGTGTGCCCAAGATCCCTAGAGGAGAATGGAGGAGAAGGGATTGCGGCGTGGCCATCCCCCTGGGGGGGTGATTTCTGTCTCTCTCTCTGTCTTTTTGTGTGTCTGTCTTTCTGGTGAGCGCACACACCCTATAGCAAAAATCTCTTCAAAAAAAAATTCACCATGTATATATGTTTTTGTTTTTATTTTTTTGTAGAGGTTTTTGCTTCAGGGTGTGTGTGTTCACTGGAGAGGGAGAGACAGAGACAGTGAGAAGGAAAGTAAGAAATCAATCCCCCAGGGAGGATGGCCATGCTGCAATCCCTTTTCCATCCTTCTGGGATCTTGGGTATGCATGCACATGTGCTTTGTCTGAGTTTGAAACCATTGTGTCCAGGATTCGACCTGTAATTGGCCATGTGGAAATCCAGCAATGTAACCACTACACCATCTGCTGGCCCTGTTTTCTCTTTTTAAATTTGTTACAGGACATGTGTGCTCAACAGAGAGAGTGACAGGGAGAGGGGAAGTAAAAGCATCCTCATGGGGGATGGCCATGCTGCAATCTCTTCTCCATTCTCCTCTTGGGATTTTGGGCGCACACGCATGCCTAGAATTTCTCTCAAGTTACCGAATTCGGACTTGAATTCCCTTCGGTACAGTTGACCATGTGGGATCTAGCTGCCTTAACCACCATGACACTGACTGGCTGTATGTGTGTGTGTGTGTGTGTGTGTGTGTGTGTGTGTGTAAAGCTTATTTCTTTGAGAGAGAGAGAGAAGACAGCATCTGCAACAGGATCTTGGTTTCTCAGTCCATTCCCAGACCTCAGCAAGCCCTGAATTATGGGCAGGCATATGCTCAGTATACTCAGGGAAGTCTTTGTACTTGAACCAGAAACCTTCCCATGTGGGATTGCCTTGCACGTCATACTTAACTGCTGTGCCACTGCTGGTCACCACAATGTGTTTTTTGTTTTAGGTTTTTGCCATAGGTTGCATACACTCGCTGAAGAGAGAGAGACTGTGAGAGGGAAAGTGAGAAATCACACCCTTGGGGGATTGCCATGCCGCAATCCCTTCTTGATTCTCCTCCTAGGACTTTGGACATATATACACATGTGCCTGACATGATTTTCAAGCCACCAGGTTTTTGGGCCTTGAACTGTGGTTGGTCACGTAACCACTCTGCCACCTTCTGGCCCCCACCACAATGTAGTTTAATGCTATCTCTTTTCTATACTTGTTTCTCTTTTTGCATATCTATTTTCATCATTTTCCTGTTGTCATTTTTTTTTTAAGTTTTTTTTTTTTTTGGCCGTAGGGCATGTGCACTCACTGGAGTGAAGAGAGACAAGGAAAGTGAGAAATCATACTTCAGGATGGATGGCCATGCCTCAGTCATATCTCCTTTATCCTCCTCTTTGGATTTTGGGCATGTGTGTACTCGTACATGGTGTGAGTTTCAGGCTGCTGGGTCTAGGACTGGTATGACTGTCAGCCGTGTGGGAGTTCAGATCTGTAGCTCTCTCCCAGGGAGTTACAGTTACAGATCTGCCAGCTCTCTGCTGGTTCCCCATGTGCACGCCATCTGCCAGCCCCGCATGTGTACATTTTAATGTGAATATAATCATAAAAATAGTTTTTTTTGTTTTTTTTTTTGATGTATGTAATGTTTATCACAATTTTTGTAGTTAAATGTTTTAATATTTAATACTTAAGTTATTCCATATACCCTATTTTTATTTGTTCATTTCTCTTTAGGATTTTGGTATGGGACATGTGCGCTCACTGGCAAAACAGACAATGAGAGGGAAAGTGAGAAATCACTTCTGGGGTGTGTGTGGGGGGGGCGGGTAATGACCATGCCACAATCCCCTCTCCTCCACCCTCCTCATGAGATTTTGGGCACACGCACATGCACCTAGCATGAATTTCAGGCTGCCAGGTCTGGGACTCCAACCTTGGTTGACTGTGTGGGTATCCAGTGCCTTAACTACCATACCACCTGTTGGTTCCACCCTATTTTCTTAATAATTCTATTGGTTTTCTCAGTTTGCCTTTTTCTTGAAAAAAGTAAGTAGGAATCCTTAGCCCTGGGACCACAGACTAGTGCTGGTTTGTGGACTGTTGGCCCCTCTGTGCCCTCCCTGGGCTACACAGCACTGGGATGAGTGGTGGGCAAGGAGGCAAGGCTTCATCTGTGTTTGCAGCTGCTTCCCATCACTTGCATTGCTGACTGGGCTCCATCCATCTCCTGTTGGGTCAGCCACAGTATTGTATTTTCATGACAGTGCAAACCTTATTGTTGTGTGATTGTTTAATTATATATTGCAGTGTGGTAGTGATGGAAATGGGATACTTGGTGGGTGTGGTACACTTAGATCATCCTGGGACTGTGTTCATCTTTCCACGATCCATACATTCGTTGGGAACCCAACAGGCATGGAGTGGCACCAGGTCTATGGGACTGTCTTCCGTGAGGCTGGTTCCTGGTATTGGAAACATTGGGGATTGCTGATGTTGGGAACAGGTCAAGATATATATATATATGTATGTGTGTGTGTGTGTGTGTGTATATATATATACGTATATAGTTTTTGTTCTTTTTTAGTTACTTTGTTAGAAATGGGATTGTTTGTTCAGAGGGTGTGAATATGTATATGGCTTTAATATTATCACCTCTAGAGGTCAGCAGGTGGTGTGGTTAAGGTGCTAAATGCCCACATGGCTGACTGTGGTTTCTGTCCTGGACCTGGCAGCTAGAGAAATAAACTAAGCACGTGTATGACCAAGATACTGAGAGGAGAATGAAGGGATTGTGGTGTGGCCATCTACCCTGGGGGGTGCTCTTTCATTTTCCCTCCCTCTCTCCAGTGAGTAAAGGCACCATTATATACACACACATATATATATATATAAATCTAAATATGTATATATATAAAATATATGTATTCAAAGTCACCTATATGTAACTTAAAAATCTCTTTCTCTTTCTTCATCCATGACAGTGAAAAAGAAGGACGAGATAGAAAAAAAGACAAACAGCATTTGAAAAGGAAAAAAGAATCAGATTTACCATCAGCTATTCTTCAAACTAGTGGTGTTTCCGAATTTACTAAAAAGAGAAGCAAACTAGTACTTCCTGCCCCTCAGGTAATCTGATGATAGCAGTTCATTGTGTGAATTCATATTCTTATATCATTTATTTAGCATATATTTGGGGGCCTATGTACCAGGTTTGTGCTGGGTGCCCTTAAGAAATTCAGTTTAGTGGGTGAGCTACACATAAAACAGGTTGCCATGTTACAGTCCAACAAATAGGCATCACTTTCTCTGTATACATTATTATTTCAGTTCTTAAGCTGTTTGTGTGGTGATTTATTAGGTTGTCAGGAAAGTCAGTGTATTTTTGTTTCTGTGCAAAATGTATCACGACTTTGCCAACAACCCAATAATAACTTAATTGTCAGCTCTTAGCAGTTTGTCCACAGTTCAGAATTGCAGGTCTCTTTTTTGGTAGTCTGTAGACTAGGATAAAGGTTTGGTTTGGCTTTGTGGTCTTTAAGCTGATTTCTTTCAGGGACTGATTTGTGGTGTCATGTTTCTTTTTCTGAAACAAAAGCTATGAAAATCATTGTGGGAGTTACGGAGAAGAGAGATAACAAACTTTCCATCATTTAGCTTACTGTATTTTCCTTTTTTTTTTTTAAAAGAAGTTTATACCTTAAAGCGTGTGTGCTTGCCAGAGACAGACACACACACAGTGAGAGGAAAGTGAGAAATTGCCCCAAGGGGGGTTGTCCATGATGCAATCCCTTCTCCTTCCGGTATCCTGGGCATGCACACACACGTACCCAGTGTGAGTTTCAAGCCACTGGCTCTGGGACTCGATTCATGGTCTGCCATGTGGGAGTTAGCAACATAACCGCTATGTTATCTGCTGGTCTGGCTTACTGTATTTTCTTTTCCTTAGACTTAGTTTTGTGTGCGTGTGTGTGTGTGTGTGTGTGTGTGTGTGTATGTAGTTGATTAGGAACCTGGAAATTTTGAGTAACCTTTTGTATTGTTTTGAGCCGTATAGCTCTGTCAAATTGATGAGTAGGTCAGACAGAGAAAAGTACTCGGGGGATCAGAAAAGCTTCTTTTCTATATGAGCACATTGGGGTCATCAATATAAGATTCCTGGGCATAAATATAATTTTGTTATATGCTGCCATGCCTAGTAATTATGTCTTAATATAATTTTGCTCGTAATTTATCTTTTTTTTGGTTAATACGTCTTAGGATACTTATTTTGGTAAAATTACTAAGATAACACCTTGAGATTTTATTAGGGATCTGTAGCTTAGTAAACTTTATGTATGAGATTTTAATTTGTTTTCAGTTTTTTTTCCTGTCCGTAGTAAATAGTGTTTTTTTAATTGCCAGAGGAGAGCATATGTACTCACCAGAGAGAAGGAGAGAGCATCCTCTGTTACTTCTATTTCTTCATGCCTTTTCTTCATGCTTTTAAAAATGTTTTTAAAGATTTTTATCTCAGGGAGCGTGTGCTCTCCAGAGAGAAGGGGAGAGGCAGTGAAAGGAACATGGGAAATCATCCTCAGGGGGATAGCCTTGCCCCAATTCCATCTCCTCCATTGTCCTCCTGGGATCCCAGGTACACATGCACGTGTTCCTGGCATGAGTTTTGAGCCACCAGGTCTGGGACTCAAACTTCACTTGCCCATGTGGGAGTCCAGTGATGTAACTGCTATACCATCTGCTGGCTCCAGATCCAGCTCTCTTAACTACTGTGCTACTAGGTCAGCCCGATAACATGTTTTTGTTTGTTTTTGTTTTTATTTTTTTTAAGAGATTTTTGCTATAGGGCAAGTGTACTTGCTAGAGAGACAGAGTGAGAGATACAGAGATAGAAACTGAGAAATTATCTCTTGGGAGGATGGCCAAGCCACAGTTCCTTCTCCATTCTCCTGAGATCTTGGGCATGCATGCACATGTTCCCGGTGTGATTTTGAAGCCATGGGTCTAAGGACTTGAAATGTAGTTGTCCTTGTGGGAGTCCAGTGATGTAACCTCTATGCCATTGATTTGTCCCCAGCCTGAAAAAGTTTTGTACAAACTATTTGGTACATTAATATATTGTTTTGAAAGAATTTAAATGTGGAAATACAGTCTTTGTAATTTGATTCTGTGTCATATAATCCCTTACCCTCACCCCCTCATAGAGTTTTAAAAACTTTACTGGGACCAGCAAGTGAGTTGGAGTTTAAAGTGCTGGATCCCACATGGCCAGCTCTGTGATTTGAGACTGGACTTGTTTGCTTGAAAAATATGCCAGCATCATGTACATATGTGTCCAAAGTCCTGAGGAGAATGGAGGAAAAGGGATTGCTTTATAGCCATTCTCTGGCAGATAATTTCTCACTGGTCTCTCTCTCTGTGCAGTGAGCACATGCACCTACAGCAAAATAAAATACTTTATTACAAGTGTGTAATAAAGTGCCACTGGTATGGTAGATAAGGTAGCTAGATCTCACATGGCTGACTACACGGTTCTAGTCCCATATCCAGAGGCTTAAAAATACACCAGGCATGTGTGCATGTATGCCCAAAATTCTGAGAGGAGAATAAAGGATTGTAGCATGGTCATCCCTCTTGTGGCGGGAGTGGGAGGGTGTTTTTCACTTTCTCTCTCTGTTTCTCTGTCTTTGCCTTTCTCTGACATGTCTTATAGCAAATGAAAAACAAAAAAACCCTTTATTATGGACATTTTCAAAGCCACAAAAAGTAAGGGGGGTAGTATAGCAGTTACAAAGCTGTGTGCTCATCACACAGCTACAGCAATCTGTCTTTCTAGAATATAGAAATTTTTTTTAAAAGAATTATTTATTTATTCAGTATTATTCTTTTTAAAATTTGACCAGAGAGAGAGCAAGGGAAAGTGAGAAAGCAAGCCACCAAGACTGAGACTCAGACTGGGGTTGGCCATGTGGGAATCTAGCACTTCAACCACTGTAACTTGGCTGGACCCATTAAATCTTTTTTAAAAAAATTATTTAATTTTCTTTTCTTTCTTTCTTTCTTTTTTTTTTTTTTAAGAGTTTTGCTATAGGGTGCATGCGTGTGCCAGAGAGACAGAAAGTGAGAAATCACCTCTTAGAGGGATAGCATACCACAATCCCTTCTCCTTAATTCCCCTTTTGGAATTTTGAGCATATGTGTACATTTGCCCAGTGTGAGTTTGAAGCCGCTGGGTCTAGTACTCAGACTGCGGTCAATCAGCAATGAGTCCAGCACCTTAGCCATTATGTCACCTTCTGGCTCCTATTTATTTATTTTTTAATTTGATGAGCGAGAGAGATAGAGAAAGAGAGAAAGAGAAAGCAGGCTGTCAGGTCTGGAACTTGAATCTTTGTTGACCATGTAGGAGTCCAGCACCTTAATCATCACACCACCTGTTGTTCTCTGGAATATGGAAACCTTAAGCTGTGTTGTTTCTTGATTCAATGCTTCCTTCAATGATCATATCCTTTCAGATTTCAGATGCAGAACTTCAAGAAGTTGTGAAAGTAGGCCAAGCAAGTGAAATTGCGCGTCAGACTGCTGAGGAATCTGGCATAACAAACTCTGCTTCTAGCACTCTTTTGTCTGAGTACAATGTAACCAACAATAGTATTGCCCTTAGAACACCATGAACTCCAGCTTCCCAGGACAGAATTCTGCAGGTAAGATGTCATATAGTAGAATAAACTTTCACTTTGTTTATTGTCCTTAAAAGTGTCATTAAAAACACTGAGTAGTTTGATTATGTTTCTTTTTTTTTCTTTTTTGGTAAGTTTATTTTACTTTTTATTTAAATAAATTTCATAATTCATTTCTTTCATGAGAGGGAGTGACAAATCTCACAGTGTCACATTGTGATACACCCCCATTGTCAGCTGGCCTGGATCATGTGTATAACCAGCATACTGAGGGTGGTCCTGGAATGTGATCCCAGGACTTTTTCCATGTGGGTCCAGTTGTTACTACAGTGCCTTTGCCTAATCCCCCCTCTTTAAAGTTTATTTCTTTGACAAGAGAGAGAGAAAGAGAGTGAGATAGACAGACCTCCCCCGCCCCCCAGTGTCTGTGTTGTAGTCTACTCTCAGTCTCAGCTGGCCAGGACCACACACACACACAAACAAACACACACACACAGTTTGCTCGGGAAGGTCCTGGGATGTGAACTTAGGACATCTCCCATGTAGGTACAGTTGCGTTACTACTTTGCTGCCACCTGACTCTGGTTAAAGGAAACCCTTTAGGGTAGTTTGAAACTGAGTTCTAAATGTTTTGATCCTAGAGTATTTCTGTAGTAGTAAAGCAAAATCAGATTTGGTAAGTAGGTGGATCTATTTCTACATTTGTTCATAGCTTTTTGATGCCAGCCTTTCTACCTTGATTAGTCTATTGTACCTATCATTTTTTTTTTTTTAAGTTTACTTAACAAAAAGTTTATTATGGAAACGTACATGACCTGATTTTTACAACATAGTAAAAACGGGCCTGTTGACAAGGGGACATGGGTTTTTCTGTTGAACAGCCATTATTTATACTCGTTCCAAGGCTTCTAACATCATGCTACTATTTCCTTCTATTACCACCATTCCAATATTGTTCTGTTGCCCACTAGTTGCCGTCTCCACACATTCATCTATCACAAGATTCATAAATAGATCAAATCCCCGCAATATTCCTTGGACATGTCTGCCTCCATTTAATTTTAATGATAACTTCTTGTCCATAAATTTTTTCAATTCGGGAGGGTGAGCTTTACTCATGGTACCAACTCGGCAGGCTCAGGGATGCCTTTGAACGGAATTCTCGGCCTCTTCAGTAGAGCATAGCATTTTAAAATTTCACTTTGCCCAGCAATCCTAGAAAGAAATCAGATGTGTGTAATCAGCAATTTTCGAAACTTTTTTGCATTTGTATGCTTAGTTAGGCATAGTATAGGGTACTCCTTCCCTCCTCCTCTCCATAACGTGGAGTATACTTAGCTCTCTGTTACCAGGGAGTCTGCATGCTAGGGAATACCCAGACCTACAAAACACCGTTGAGTCTTGTAGCACCCTTACTTCTCTAGTAGTCAGAAATACCATTTTAAGACTTTGATCCAAAATCCAAATAGGTATGTGAGGCTTCATTAAAAAAACAGTTGTACCCCTCATTGCTTGCTTTATAGAGGCACCAACTACAACTCTATGTTCTTATTCTCTTAATACACCCCAGTATTGTTTATTAATTTATTTTAAAATTTGTTTCTTCAATGAGAAAGGGAGACAGAGAGACCCAGATAGAGACAAGCATCCTTAACAGGGTTCCTATTCTCTGATCCTACCCTCTCCCTCAGCTAGTCAGGGCCATAGGCACACATGTATGCCTGTTGTGTACAGAGACCCCAAGATGTGATCCTCCCTTGTGTTTCAACATTGCAGAGCACTGCTGTTCATCATGTTTGGTCTAACATCATGTTGTTTTTAAAAAAATTTTGCTATAGGGCCTGTGTGCTTGCAGGAGACAGACAGAGTAAGGGAAAGTGAGAAAGCACCTCTGGGGGTGGTGTGTGTGTGTGTGGCCATGACATAGTTCCCTCTCTAGTCTCCTCTCAGGATATTAGGCAGGCATGTACATGTATCTGATGTGATTCTCAGGCTAACATATCTAGCACCTTAACCTCCTAATCACTTGCTGGCCCAAATTGTTCTTTGCTTTTTTCTTTTAAAGAGTTATTTTAATTTTATTTATCATTATTATTACTACTTTTGTTTGGAGAGGCTTTTGCTATAGGGTGCGTGTGCTTGTCAGAAAGAAAGAGAGAGACAGAGAGACAGAAAATGAGAAATCACCCCCCAGGAGGGATGGTGATGTCGCAATCCCTTCTCCTCTATTCTCCTCTTGGGAGACGCACAGACACGCGCCCGGTGTGAGTCTAAGCCACCGGGTCCAGGACTCGAACTGTGGTCAACTACATGGGAGTCCAGTGACATAGCCATTATGCTAACTGCTGGTCCCTATTATTACTGCTTTTAATTTGGCCAGAGAGAGAGAAAGTGAGAAAGCAAACCTCTGGGTTTGGGACTTGAACTGTGGCCAGCCATGTGGGAGTCCCAGCGCCTTAAACACTATGCTAGCCCTCGAATTGTTTTTATGTTCTCATTTGTAGTACAAAAGGTTTCAGGTTTTTTTTAAAGCATTATTTATTATTATTTTCCATTTTGTGACAGGTTACACACACTCACTGGAAAGAGAGAGAGAGAAAAGGAAAGTGAGATAGCAAGCCACTAGGTCCAAGACTCAAAACTGGCGGACCATGTGGGAGTCTAGTGAGTCATACACCTGACCACCTGCTGGCCCCAGGTTTCAATTTTCATGAAACATGGTTTATCTAGCTTTTCTTTTGTTGCTTGTGCATTCAGTCTTAATCTAAGAAAGCCTTGCCCCACCCAAGATTATGAAGATATCCTTTTATGTTTTTCTAGGAGTTTTATAGTTTCAGCTCTTACATTTAGGTCTGTGATCCTGTTTGAGTTAATTTTTATATGTGATATGAGGTAAGAGTTCAACTTCATTCTTTTGCAAATGGATATCTAGTTTTCTAGCACTATTTGTTGAAAAGACTCCTTTCTCCTTTATATGATCTGACATCCTTAACTTAGTTGGCCATGAATGTAAGGACTTATTTCTGGAGTCTCAGTTCTATTTCATTGATTTGTATGTCTGACATTTGCTAGTACCACATCATTTTGATTCCTATAGCTTTGTAATACTTTATTGTGTTTTTAACATGGGCTTTGAAAACTGATTGTTAAAAAAGTATTGAGGTAATGAGAAATGTTAACTGAGAAAGTAATAGTTACTTTGAAAATAGAAAAACAAAAACCAGATTTAGAGACTGGGTAATATGCAGTAAGTTTGGGGCCTGTAACTGGATTCTTCTAAAATACGTGGAAAGTTATTGGTAAAGTAAGTGTATTAGTTGGAATTGTTGGGTCGACTGAAAAGTCATGACACATTTTTGCATAGAAAAATATGTCATGACTTTTTCTAACAGAAAACTAATAGTGAACTCCTAAATAGAGGTTTATTTCCATTTCATATTCTATATTTTTTAATTTTAATTTTAATTTTTTTCTTCTTTTTTTGGAGAGGTTTTTACTATAGGGCACGTGCACTCGCCAGACAGACAGAGAGAGACAGAGAGATAGAAAGCGAGAAATCACCCCCCCAGGGGGGAGGGCCACGCCGCAATCCCCTCTCCTCCATTCTCCTCTCGTGATCCTGGGCACACACACACATGCGCCCTGCGTGAGTTTAAGCCGCCGGGTCCAGGACTTGAACCACGGTCGACTGCATGGGAGTCCAGCAATATAGCCATTATGCTAACTGCTGGTCCCTATACTCTAGATGTTGAGAGATAAATCAAATAGGGCTTGGTGTGACTGTCCCTGGTGTTAGGGACTTAGGTACCTTCTGTTTTGTTCTCTCCCATGCCTGACTTACCTTCTTAGTGTCTCCTTGTGGTAGGTACAGTGGCCAAAAGGCTGGCAATCATGTCTGTGTCTAGCTGGTAGAAAGGAGGATGAGGGAAGAAGGGCACACCTCTTTTTTTTTTTTTTTTTTTTTCTTTTTTTTTTTTTTTTTTTGGGGGTTT